CCTTGGTATTGCTGACCACCCACACTGGACGGGGTCAAGGGCGGGAAGCGCGACTGGGCAATGAAATCGCCTTAGCACATCTCATATACACTTACCATGAGTTGCTTGCGCTCTTCACTCAGTCGGGCCAACACCTCATTGGTCCTCTTCCGAGCCGCTTCAGGGACGACCGGTGTTGCCATCGGGTGAGACATGGCTTGCCGGAATCGCCTGATCGCCATCTATTGTCTTACATCTGTAGAAAGTGTTCCATACACCCAAGCAGGATTGTCGTCATAGTTTGGTCCTGGCGGTAACGCGAATCCCCCTGGGAAGGCAGGGGCCCACACATAGGGAGGGTAGACCCTGAGGGAGCTATGATGATGACGATGCTAATCAAGATGGCAACAACTTACTCATCGGGATGAGGATAGGATACCCCAGCAGGCGGAGGTGGAGGGTAGGCCGCCGAGGACGAGCCCCCACCGTGGACAGGAGGGAATTGACCGTGGTTGGCCATGAACTAGTAGACAGGATAGCCAACAATAACAACTACTGCATAGCAGGCTTATTCAGTAGGTCTTAATAGGAATCATGATGAATCTACACAAGACGTCTACAAAAAGACCCCATCGCACTCACGTGGTGAGCCTAGTCCCAGAAATCCACAATGCTTCATTTCTGTGGTTCATCACAATGTCCCAGTGGAAACATCAGATATAACATGCTTATACTGCAGCATGGCAGACGACATTACTACTCACCTACAGGGACTACCAGTCTTAGACCGATGAAGCGATGGGCGATAGCAACGAGATCTCCCCAACTACACTCTTCCAAGCTTACCGCGATAAATTAAAGTACGTTCAACTCAAGGCACTCTCTATATCCGAAACTGTCAATAACAAAAACCGCCGCCATGAGAATAAAGGTTCGAACATCGTATTCGACCTTGCCGCCCTAGGGATCCTGTAGGCCTCACCAACTACACATCAACAATGTATGTGTGAGAGGATCTCGAATCTTCATAATTCCAGATGATGGGACTGTAAACTTCGAAAGCCTGAAATACACGATGCAAGAACAAGCTGATGATCTCAACTACAGTGGCAGCAGCTATCTACCACCCCAGTGACAACGCAGCACAGAACGATATTCGTACAAAGGAGATCAACAACACAATCATCACCATCTACTCCTCTCCGTCTACTTGAGGCCGTTCTCCCACCGTTAAGACCGACAAGTAGGAACAGAAAACCGTCAAATGTCTCAAGAAAAACGATGCTAGTAGTGCTGGTATCAACCGTCGCATCTAGTCAGCATGCTTAATAACCTGGTTCAGCAGATTCGTACCTGACCATTTAATACTTGCGACCTTATTAATGAGCCGTCACTATTACCAAGCTGGGCCTTGACCTTGTCCCATTCAGTCTCCTTAGCGGCTGACTGAACCTCCGACAACAACTGAGCGGCTCTATCCTTATCTAATGCTTCCTTAGGCACCTGGACAAGTCCATCTAGGCTTCATTGAGATTAGTATACTACCAATTCCACACCGGAGATTTCGGCACGACAACAACCAGTGCCGTCCGAGGGTTGATTGAAGAATACGAAACCGTCGGAAATGAAGAAATCTTTGAGATCAGTACCATCACGAACAGTAATTACTCCTGAAAATGATGATACAACGTTGTTACGACTCATTAGGATGCTCACCAGGAGATAACTGAGATATCACTAGAGAGTGATTATTGGTGATAGTGAAAGTCCCCTCAGTACCCGGTACTGTCACGCTGTCGATCTGACAATACTCCAAAGTGGGGAGAGGGTAAGGCAACGCTCTATCCCTACCGGTTTAAGATAGAAAATGTTCTCCCTAGGAGAGCCCATTGTTAGTAGAAGTCGGTTGGTGATGCCTGCTGGGGTGTTGGCGCTCGGCAGGAGGCCAGCACGAAGTAAACGAGAGGCGCGGAGAGACATCCAGTGTAATGACAATTATACCAAAACCGCGTCCTGAGGATAACCGAACCGTTACAGCGGTTTCATTGCTGATCTTGGGCAATTCCTATTTGACTCATAATAACGATCTTAACGCGATCAGCGATCGTAATGTTAATCTATATTATCATATGCATAATCTCCTTCTAAACATATGGTGACATAAATATATTAGATCAAATCCTGCTCCCATCAATAAAAGTTGAAGATCGAAACGTGGGACAATGGAAGTTGAACAAAACACTCAATGCCACTCTATGAAGATTTTTACATACAAGGAATGCACCTGGTGCTCCTACGGTCCGTTACGAAATAGCAGAAAATATAGAGGACGTGACATAGTCCACCAGAGTCTGAATAGATCTTCCACAAATGATAATGCTGGTGGACCCTTGCGCGCGCCCAACTAATCGATCTCAATCTCTACAGAAGCGAAGGCCTTCGCTGGACCTTTGACGTTAGGCATAAGTTACGCCGCGTAACTGGTTCAGACACCTACGGGCTCACCTCATCGGCTCGGCGTTTGCCTCTTGCGATTTATTTGTGGAGGATACCTTCCCGAAGGCCTCGTTTTGTGATTATCTAGGATCGGCCGGTTTGACGATCCTACCTAATCCTAACGAGAATTCGGTGATCTCCGGGGTTTTTAACTGCGATTCAAGGGTGATCTGTGATGCTCTGCAACATTGTGGTTATTTTTCTCTTCAACATGGGTCTTTGTATATGGCGATGTATGGTATGAAGATCAAGCTCCGTCCGTTTTCATTGTATAATACTTCTTCTTGCGCGGTCGGTGATGCTGTTCGTGCAGGAGAGACCATTTACGATCTCGGGCTAACAGTTCCTACGGATCGTATCTGGCTCTTTCGCCACTCACTACCGAGTAAGCGTTACTTCCGTGTATTAGACAAACTTGGTGGTTTAGATTTCGGTACTGTACAATTTGCTACCTCGTTCAAAGATCGTGAAGCAGACATGCCCTTGATCGACATCGAGCATACCTTCTATCTGAGGTTGCGTCATGTGATCAAGGCTCATGCCAGGGTGAAGTTTTCTGTCTCTTCTTCCCGTGCTTCATTTCGCTCTTTACTTATAATCTCCGGCATCCTTATGCCCGTCGTATTGAGTTACGATTTCGCGTGCGACAGTGTTCCACTCCTTCGATTAGCCAAGCTATTCAATGGCTTTTAAATCGTAACAAGTTTAGTCTCGATTCTTATCCCGACCTTTCTTTTACGACTGTCGATTATGAGGATTACTTAAATCTCGTCGATTATTCTTTACTTGTAGCAGAGAAACTAAAGTTGGCTGTCGGTGACAACAATTCCAAGTTGCCGCCTGATATTCGGCTTCATTCTGCTTGATCAACTCGTTTGGTGAATCTAATCCTTACGCTCAGTCTTTATTGGATATATTTTCTCGACTCTGCGTCATCAA